AGCCTGAGGAGGAGGGGGAAAGCGTGATCCATTGGTCATAAATGGAGAATAACTTGTGGGGTACCTTCCGTGCCTCTGGTCCGCTATATTGGGCCACGGTAAACACCATTCCCGGCTGCTCCAGTACCCTCGCTGCACAAATCGTCCTGTCAGCCCGGTACTGTCCCTCTTCCCAATACTTTCGATCTCCATCGTCCCATCGTCGTGGATATTGATCAATGTAGATGTTCTTCAGTCTGCAGATTGCACCGCGCTTCACGTAGTAGAACTATGGGGGGGAAAATCAGTTCCTTGCCCTCGAAAAGGGATGCTACCGGCTCACCTCGTCGAACTCTGTCCGCTTCTTGATATGGTTTTGAACAATTGTGATTGGGCCCATGTAATTGTGCTGATCTCCCTCGACATGGCTGAAGTTGCCACCAGTAACGGTGAAGTCCCGCGCATTTGGGAAAAAGCTGGACATTGAAGTTACTGGTGTGCTGTAGGGTTTAGTGAGATGATAGTAAAGCGGAGAAGGTGACGGTCGAGAGGCGAGAGGTAAGGTGACTCACCCATTTACATTCGATGCCGTGTTTGACACATGATGCGTACTTTAGATATTCACTCCATCATACAACCCGTAGAACCGTGACATTTTTCAGATCAATGCGAATTCCCGCGCATGCTATAGACCGACATCAGCGGGAAGAGTGGAGTCCAGCAATAAGCTGCAACGGAGAGGGTCCTTGTAAATGGAATGAACGGTAGGAGGGCTGGGGTTGTACGCCAATTTTCATCCGCAAACATGCCTCTCAGCCCCGCCCAAATCAGGCCATTAACTACACCCCTCAGTCTCGACCTCGATACCAAGAAGCGCACGGTCCGTGGTGAGTGCCTGGCGTATATATTGCCTCGCGGCATATGGTGGTACGAGTTGTGATAAATTAGAACTGGGCAAGACTGTGAAGTTTGAACGAAGTCCGGGAGTTTACTGCCCATAGAAACGGAGGTGTGTTGTCGAGGGGTTTTCGACGCCCTTCTGTGATGAATAAGTGGGTCACATTGTACAGTCATACCTACAAGTTTGTTAGTTGCCAGTTCGCGCGCATCTCCATTTCTTTGCCAAGACGCAGCGCATTTTGTCCTGTCTGGCAGTAGGAAAGCGAGGACTCGGAGTATCGAGTACTACTGGCAAAATTTCACCGTCGGCGAACGCCGAATTGTCAGCAACAACTAACCATTGAACCGCGTTGTCGAATTGGCGCCCACAACTTTGAACTTGTACATCCTCCGAATCAACATACCAAGACCATAACATTTCGGCTCGGCCAGTGGGAACATGTCAAACGCTTCGTGTTTTCCCAACCTTTTTACTCGTGGATCTCCCTTGATCTCTCTCGACTTGGACGAATGGTCTGTACGCACGCCCTCCCCCCCTCCAGTACTCGTGCTACTAGGGCTTTTGGCCTCATCAGAAAAGTCTACATGTGAAGGAGAGGAATTGATTTGAACACTTGGCACGTATCGTCAAGGAGAGAGAGAGAGAGAGAGGTGCTGTACCGGCCTTCAATCCACTTGACTTCTCTCCCGATAGGTCAAAAGGAGTTTGCACGCAGGGGTAACGGGATCCTGGAAGATACCCCCCTCAGCTCGATCTGCTTCTGAGATCGAGAGAGCCCCAAAGTCACAACCAATTTTGGGGTGTTCTGATTCCGCTTCGCATGGGGATTCTGGCCGTGTCATTTTTTGGAGAATTTCGCTGGGAGAAGGAGGCGGTTTGCACCCCCCCCCCCTCATTCCTGCGCGGTATTGAATATGCTTCAGCTGCATCTTGACATTCGTAATATTCATTCGGATAGATGGCAGGCGGTAGAGAACGAAGAGCGCGCTTGGATGCGTAAACGAATGGAGACGCAAGTTTCGATTGAGAGGTCCAAAGTCATAACCAAGTTTCGGTGTTCTGACTTCCGCTTCGCACGTCGTGTCGTTTTTGGAGAATTCCGGTGGGAGAAAAATGCGATTTCCAAGTCACTTGTGGCCCCCCCATTCCTGCGCGGCACTGGATATACTTGTCGGTCGGCAAGCTTGCATCTTGACATTCATAAGTGCTCATTCGGATAGCTGGGATTGAAGAATGCGGACAGGCCCCACTTCAACTTGGCTCCATTTTAGAGTTAGACGACCGTTGAACGTTCTGAACCCCCGCGTATTGCGTATTGAGAGCTGGTATCAATCGAGTCGTTGAATGGAAGGACGAGCGAACCGCAATGAAGAGACGGTCACTGAGAGGGGTAGTGCAATAGACCTCGATGGATAGACTGCTCGGGAAAGTGAATGTTGAACGTTGAACGTTGAAGTCGGGTTTGCGCTCCTTAATCTGTTTCAGCCAGATACATGTATATCCCCAGTGCAGCCGCGACACTCAAAGAGAAAAGTAAGGTGTAACTTGGTTGGAATGGAGATCTCAGGAATCGCTTGGTCGTCGGGATGTGGGCGCTGATGTTGAACGTTGAGGACGAGTGTCTTGATGGAATTTTTCCCTGTTGAATCCTTCAGATATCTTTCGAGTAGATGGGTATACGTCGGTTGCGAGAGGAACGGGGCCGATGCCTGTATGCCGGTGGGATGATTTGGCTAGTTTGTGGTAGTGCCCAAGTTCTGCGAATGTCAGGTAAATAGTCGAGCTTGTCAGTTGCACGCACGAGTTCTATCTTCCTTCTGTTCCCTACATCGACGATGTTTTAGGCAATCGAATTGACCAGAGAAGGGGGAGAGAGGAAGTGCAGCACATCTTGTCTGGTGATACTAGTGGGAGAGAGCGAGGAAGAGTACAGAGTACCAAGCGGCAAAAATTTCACCGTGGGCGAATTGTCGGAGAAAACCGTTCAATCGAGCCCACAACTTTGGACTTTTACATCATCGAGTGTGTTTCCTCCGAACTCATCAACATTGGCCGCTGGACGTCGGACACAGGCCGTACGCCTCGTGTTTTTCATCTAGCCTCAACCTTTCACGCTTGCACCTCCCTTTTTCTCATTCGACTTGGACGAATAGCGCCGACTCGACGACCTCTAACCAAAACACATCATGAACCTCTGCCTACCCGTTAAATGTCAGAAGCACCCAACAATCGAGCCGCCGTCGACGAATACACTATTTTGATTCAAACGATTGAACACTTGACGTTGAATCGAAGGCCGATGGATGGGATAAAGAAGAGGGAAAGGGTTCGGTTCTGAGTTTGACTTTGAAGGTGCGCCCACCTCGTCTTTTCTTTCTATGCACGCTAACATGAAAAACAGGTGACTACATCCTCGTCCAAGGCACACAAAACATCCAAAACAATAAAAAAGCCCCCACATGGACATGTTACTTCGACGGTTCCCCAATTCCTTCATTCCCATTCACTGATATCAACCGAACGACACATGAGAACCTCTGTGCCCATCACGCACACAAGTTTACTAGGAAAGTGACGGTGACGGAACCGAGCGATGCGGAATTTTGGTCGGATTATCTCGAATATGCGCCTCTCGACGCTGACGATGGGAGTGGGGCCGAGGGGTTTAGTTTGGGTGGTATCGATGGGGAGGGTATGATATGTCATGGAGGTTAGATTAAAATCGACAGTAGCGACACGAGTGTCAACTACCTCAACAGAAGCTTCCAATGGCAAAATATCGGAGGTGGATTCAACGGGACTGGGAAAACGAGTGGGACTGCTCAGGTTAAATTCAACGGTGCGGCCCCATTCTACTCTCCTTCTCCTTTCTCGCCAAACTAACACCCACCACAGGCACCTCAATATCCTTCTTCTCCTTTATCGAAGGCTCCAACGCAGCCCTAGTGTTCCGCCCTAGCATGGTACCACATCGACGACGCCCAAGATACATCGTTCACCATTCCCGCCTCAAAGAAGATGTCAAACGGCGAAGCCGCAGATTTCCAAACTCAACCCTTGTTCAACGCGTCGGGTCTAAGGAACACGAGGGGGTGTATGATTCGGATAAACTGCCGAATCAGTGGTTGGTTGTGGATTACTTTCTGCTGGGATGGTTTGGACGTCTGAGGGAAAAAGCAAACCGGGGATGGGGATGATTCTGGGGGCTGCGTTTGGAGGAGTTGTCGGGCTCGTTCTACTTGGATTGGGGGTATGGTACTTTATGAAGCGACGGAGGAGAAATCGGAGGGAAGGCGTTACGGTATCACCTTGATATGGTGGTGCTGGAGGGTCAGGGATGTATCTGGGTGGCGGGGGTCATACGTATGTAGCTGTGACGCCTTTCGTTCCGGAGGAAGAGCACAGACCGTATGTGAAGCCCGTGGCGCCTTGGGAGACTGGTGCGGCTGCGGCTGGAGTAGTCGGAGGGAGAACGAGTACGACATCGTATCCACCCGGAAAACAGAGTCAACGATACTCGAACATGTCCACCTCGTCTGCTACCGTTCCTCTTCTCGGTGATGCTTCTGGCTCCGCGTCGGGATCTGCGAGCAGACCACAACACTCACGGCACAACCAATCTCAATCAGGCTCCCTCGTCAAACCCTCCCCACCCGATGTCAAGTCCACATCCCACCACTCCTACTTCGACCCGTCTGCTGGATCGAGTAACAACGACAACTACAGATCGATGAAGGGCGAACAGCGGCAAATCGTCAATACGACTTATCGGAGGCACGAAGACAGTGAGGTTCGGTATGGGCAAGGCTCGGGGATACATGTGGAGAGATTTACCTCCGAATTATACGAGGGACTAACACGTTGCTCCTTGTGTTTTTTTCTGGGCTTTTGGAATCTGGATGGACTGCATGTTGCATATACTCATTGTCTTTCCTTTCTCTCTCTCAATGGACTATCGAATCGTTATTGCTATCATCTACCTCCATCTATCGCTGTCGTTACCTACATACTTATCGTCCGTCCGTCGTCCTTTTACTTACGAGTCTATCGACATACTTACCAGGAAATACTCATTAGAGACTGCTCAATATGGTGCTGTAAGTCAGCTAGTCTCTCCATTAGCAGCATGGCGCAGTGGTAGCGCGCGGGGCCCATATAGACCACAGTGACCACACTACTGGAACCCCGAGGTCACTTGATCGAAACAAGTTGCTGCTATAACATTGCTTGCGGGATCTTTTTTATCGTCTGAACAAAACCATCGGGTCTAAGGTCAGCCTCTTAAATCTCTCTGCCTCTCTCTATCATCATCAATCACTTTCACCCGCCAGAACTGGTTCTGGTCCTCTCCTTTTACACGCCGCTCTTCAGCTCATTGTCAAACCAGTGTTCGATGATACGCGAGAATGACCACCAGTACACCCACGCAACCGCAACGGTACCTTCATTGTCAGCAACGAGGGAGAAGGAAGACGGATTTGGTAGATGATACCTCCAGAGAGCTAGAGGGCCACAAGAACAAACTGGCGGACCAGGGACCAGGTGAGCACTCGTACAGTTGAGCGCCGTTGACCACTTGCTGGTATCATGTATCCTCCCCCCCCACAGATTGGAGAATCACGACTGTTGCCAATCGAAAGAAACTCAGTGACCTGCTCAACGTCTTGAAGATTTAACACAACGACGATTGTCGAGATCTCTCTCTTTTTTTCCTGTTTCTTCCGTTTCAGCTTATAAGCCTTAGTCCTGAACCTGAACTTTTGCATTCGCAGTTTTAGTTGATAGCTCGCCTTTCTCCGAAGCCAGCGTCTCGCGTAGTTTTCGAATACTTTCCTCAAAGCCAAGAATATCTATCTGTGGAGGTTCAAGCTTCACGACCCATCAATGCCAGTTGAATTGCTCGATGCCAAATGTTTGCAATCACAAGCCCGGGCTTTCTTCTACCCAATCCACCTCTACGCAAGATCTTTTCCCCCCCCTCCCTCCGTGTGAACTTATTCGGTGTTCACAGTGTTCACCGTGATCTGATTTCTGGATTATTCGGTTATTCCAGCTAATCATGAATCCCTAGAATAATTCGCACGGCGGGGACGTTTGATGATCTGTTTACAACCAAACATCCCCACGTGGAGGGAACTCAATCGCCCATGTCGCGTTTCGCGAGTCATCGTTCAATGTTCAACGTTCAACCTCCATTGACAGCCATGGTCCACAAATTTTTATCAAGCTTCAAGAACGAGTTAGATGACATGTCGAGTGACCTCGCAGCGAGAGACTGGAATGGTAGATGTAGGTGCAAAGTTGAACGGAGGCTAACCAATTTGGATTCTTACCACGTGGGGATACTTGGTTGTAAACAGATCATCAAACGTCCCCGCCGTGCGAATTATTCTAGGGATTCATGATTAGCTGTCAAGGGTTCCGCGTTGTCCAATTTGATCGGTTACCGGATGAGCCTGACCCCCCAGTTTCTAGCTCGCGTCTCCTGTCTAGATACCGGAGGTGGTATGATTGTGGTCTGGGTTTTGCATCTGCACCTGGGAATACGCGGAGACAGAATCACTCCACGCTTACCGTGATCACGCGATTCTTTAATTTCTTCGATTCTTTAACATGATACTGGATCTAACCATGGTGTTGAAAGGCGAATTGAAGGCCAGCGGACAGAGCTCCGGCCCTCTCGTAATCGCTTGGTTCCAGCATATCCTCTGAATCATCAACTTGTTTTCTATCATTCTAATGTCTCCATTCTACGCTTACTGTAATCGTTCCGTTCTACTAGTAACGGCTGCCTTTGCGAGTTGGTAAGTGTCACCCAAAACATCACAGGATCAATCAAAGGATGGGGGAGAGCCTTCACCTCCATGATCCTAATAGTGACCCCATACATGATAGCATATAGCCCATTTGGAGAGAATCGCGCGCCTATCGGGAGGAAGCCTTGGTTGGAAGACAGGGTTACAATTCCCAGATAGTAACAAACGTGCAAGTTCTTACCTCAAACTTCCCGTTTAGTAGTCCGAGACTCCGAGCTAAGCGGGCTCCATGATTAGCCACCCGCGACAGCAGAAGTACGTTAGGTCCCCCCCGATGCCCATAGGGATATAAAATCCTAATAATGTACAAAAAGTACTCATCCCTATCAATAAGAACGGAAGAGCTTGACCCAACGTTCTATGAGTGTCCAAATGGGAAAATATTATTTTCCCCCCCCGGACACTCATTTCCCCCCGTACAGTAAGTCGTTACCGGGGGAGGGCCCATTTCCCCCCGCCCGGAGTATGGCCCAGTTCCCCGGGTAATTCCTGGCATCTCCACATAGCCACTTACCTGTTTCCCACACGTTTCCCTCACCTTTAGGTGTGTCCCAGAGGTCAGG